GCGCGCCGGGGGGAGGGAGGGAGGGAGGGAAGGGAGAGGGGGAGGGAGGGAGGGAGGGAAGGGAGAGGGGGAGGGAGGGAGATGGAGAGGGAGAGGGAGAGGGACACAGAGAGAGACAAAGAGAAATCGAGAGAAAGAGAGACACGTACAGAGAGAATATTAAAACATGATATAATTCTTATTTTTAAAAAGATTTTAAAGAGTAAAAGATGGAAGTAGAGAAGAAGAATGTCAGAATGTCTTGGGCTAGCCTGGTGTACTTTACTGAAGAGAGACTCTGCCTCAAATAAGGTAGAAGGCAAAGAGCCACCAAATTTTTCCTCTGATCTACACATGATAGTGTGTGTGCGTGCATGCACATACACACGCACATGCACACGCATGCACACGGGCACACACACACACACGCACGCATGACATTCACACATAAAGATCAATTTTAAAACTATGTTCAGAGATCTGGAAAGATGGCTCAGCAGTTAAGAGCGCTTACTGCTCTTGCAGAAGACCTGGGTTCAATTCCTCATACCCACTCAGCAGCTCACAATAATCTATAGCTCTAGTTCCAGGGCCCAAGGCATCTTCTTACTGCTATGGAGCATGTACATGCGCTCAGATGGGCGTGCGCCCACACACGCGTGTAGTATTAAATAGTTTTTAAAGTAAATAAATTACCAAATAAGTAATACATTAGTAAATGAGTGACACCTGGCACCTCGTAAGGGTTAACAGTATTTACATTAAGAGTTCAAGACAGGGCTTCTCCGTGTAGCCCTGGCTATCCTGGAACTAGCTCTATAGATCAGGCTGGGCTTGAATTCTCAGAGACCCACCCACCTCTGCCTCCTGGATGCACGGCTTCAAGGCATGAGCCACCACAACCAAGGTTGTCTTGTTGTTTTGCTGTGCTTCATGCAGTTCTGGGATGGAACTCCAGGGCTTGCAAGCACTGGGCAAGCGGCACCCCTCTGAGCTGATTCACTAGCCCGGCAATTGCTATTTTTGGAACATCTTCTTGGAGCAGTCAGACAGGCTGATGGTGTTGTCTTGTTATCTTGGACCCCGGAACTCGGAGGCACAGGTTTGGCTGAGCTCAGCGCTGTTGCCTGGCTCTGCGGCCTTAAGTCATTCCTCCTCCTGTAGTCCCCAGTCCAGCATCAGCAAAACAGATGAAGCAGCAGACGGATCCAGATAGTCTCATTCCTGCCAATCTCGGGATGAGGACTAGGTAGTAAGTACCAGGTGGCTGAGAGGGACAAGAGGTGCCAGCTGCTGAGCCAGAGCTCAGTCCTGGAGGAAATCAAACTTGATTCTGCCTGGAAATACAGCCAAGGGGACACCCACACATAACCCAAGAACTCAGGGATTTGCCTCTCAGAGGGATGGGCTAAAAGAGTTTCCATGGTGATTTGAGCAAATCCTAGATGCTAATCCAGAGCCAGCGGTGAATAATGGCCTGGTCTCCCTTCAACCAGCCCACTGGGCCAGGGGATTCTTGGGACTGGGGAGGACAGAGAGCCAGGGGGTCCTGCTCTGCAGGGGTTGGAAGGTGAGAACGGGGTTACTTACTACCTAGGGGTTTAGGTTCTTTGGATAGCTGTGGCTCTGCTGGCAACTGGGACCTGGACCTCACCTTGCACAGCACTGATCAGCTCCCATCTGAAAGCTTACATGCCAAGGGAAAGATGCTGTCTTTTCTTTATTCAGAAGAGATTCCAAATTGTTGAGATTAGATCTTATCATTTTAATAAAAATAAATCATTTTATTTATTAGATTGTTTTTATATTATTTATTCTGGGTGGGTGTGTGCACATATATTCGGAAGTCAGAGGACTCTGAGGGAATCGGTTCTCTCCTTTTGGTGTGTGGATTCCAGGAATGTTGCTCATGTACTCAGACTTGGCAGCTGGTTCTGGGCTGTCTCACTAGCCCCATTACTAAGGGTTTTAAAGTTGAAGTAAAATTAAGGGAATTAAAGATTAATTATCCCACTATTATTTCATTCGCAAAGAAGCCCATAGCAGTCAACACTTGCATTTATTTACAAATGTGGCTGTGCCACCCGAGGTGGACAGAGAGCACTGAAGCCCTGGAACTGACTTTATGGATAGTCTAAGCTACCATGTGGGTGCTGGAAATCGAACCCAGGGCTGAGCCATCAATCCAGGTCCTATTTTAAATATTTTTAAAGTTGACTTAGTCAGACATTGGTGGTATGTGTCTGTCACTCCAGTACTTGGAGCACTGAGGCAGGAGGATTGTGAGTGTGAGGCCAGCTTCAGCTATATAGCAAGTTCCAGACCAACTTGGAACATACACTGAGACCATGTCTCACAAAAGAAAGTTAGTTTAATAAAGGGAGATTGAAGAGAATCATCTTGTTTATTTAATATTGAGTTGAAGGCCTAGAAAAAGCAATAAGACAAGAAAAATCCTAGTTACTCTTCTATTGCTATGGAGAAACACCATGACCAAGGCAGCTATTATGAAAGAAAGCATTTAAGTGGGGGCCTGCTTACAGTTTCAGGGGTTTAGTACATTATTGTCACAGTAGGGAGCATGGTGGCACACAGGCAGGCACTGGAGCAGTCACTGAAAGCTGTATCCTGACCTGCAGGCCTGAAATAGAGACTCTGGGCTTGGCATGGGCTTTAGAACCCTCAAAGTGACATATTTCTTCTAACAAGGCCACACCTCTTAATCCTTCTAATCCTTTCAAATAGTGCCAACCCCTGGTCACTAAGCATTAAAAAATATGAGCCTTTGGGGGCCATTTTTATTCAAACCACCACAAAAAGAAATGACCAAAAATAATTTAAGGTCATCATTCTAGCTGATATCTAGCTATCTAACTAAGTAGAGGGATACTGCCATAAAACATTGATCTGTGTTGTACTGACTGTTTTCTAAATAGCTCCCTGTATCTGGAAACAGACTCTCTACGACTTTTTTTATTTGGGGGTGGGGACAGGCTCTCAGTGTAGCCTGGGACAGTCCTGAACTCTGCAACCTCCTAAGTGCAGGGATCACAGGCACACACCGTCACGCCTGACACCCGTCTTATTTTTATTTATTTTTACTTTATGTGTATTAGCTCTTCGCTTGCATGTGTGTACGTGCACCGCGTGTGCATGGCGCCCTTGGAGGCCAGAAGAGGACATCAGATCTCCTGGAACAGGAGTTACAAATGGTGTGAGTCTCCCAGTATGGGTGTTAGGAGCCAAGTTCTCTTCACTGGTCAGGTCTCTCTCTACACATCACATATATATTTATATAAGCACACATTTATGTGTATGACGTTTATA